ACCCAATCCTATATGGGCAGCTGAAATAAAACATGCTCTAAAACAAAATTCGTTAAATTGCTGGAAGGATGATATTAAAAGCAAACCTTCTATTGTAAAATATTCACTAATTAAAACGTCACGAAGTATGGAGGAGTACCTTCTTGATGGTACTGATTTTGAAGGAGCATCAATCAAATTTAAGCTCCGTTCAAATACCCTCCCTCTCCAACAGCGAACTAAAAATGTCCAATCACTAAACTTTCACCACGTTTGGGATAAATTTAACTCTTTAAATATTACAGAAAATGTGTGTTTTATTCTTGGCAATGAAAATGAATTATATAAAAAGGAAATTATTGTGGAAATTGATAAATTTAGCAAATCATTGTCTAAAAACCTGTGGAAAGGAAGGTCATTATTATTGCATACCTCTACCTCATAAGTAATCTTTTGTGTTGTTGTGGTTTGATTTTTTTTTATTATGTGCTTATCTGTATCTTAATAACGTAATAATTTGTTAACTTTAAAAATAGTATTAAAACAGTAATGTTGTTTTTTATTTAGTGGATTTTGCTTTAACACCAATACAGTACTGAATACTGTTATTGTATAATTGTTTTGTATAACTTTTAGTTTCTTTTAGTTTAATTGTTTTTCTTTCTCATTGAATGCACCGAAATGTTGTGTGCCACTGAAACAAAAGTGTATGTTCAGTTGAATAAATAAACTAAAAAAAAAAAAAAAGGAAAGAAAGAAAGAAAAAGAAAAAAGTGATAGCTCCCAGAATGCCTCAAATGTTATTTTCGGGCGTTTAGAACACAAAAATTTCACGGCGGCATGCACCCAGATCCCCTATGATAGTGTTGTCTCGATCGGCCCCCACCTCTTTTGGACATCTCTGAATCCGCCCCTGGCATCTATAGTCCAAAGACTGATTACTATATCTGGTAACTGGTAATATTGTGTTTTCTCAAAATTACTATCTTTATGCATATGCACAAATTGCATTCATAATGGCCCCAAAGCTGTGAGGAGAACAAAATGAAATTTAGTTGATCATTATCTTTATTCAACGATAAATGATGTCATCCATTAGTGAATAAAATATAAAATCATGGCATTTTAAAAATTTTTTCATTTCATTGACGACTAATATTATTATAAAGTTATGTCCTCACTATCAATTTTTTTGTTCATATTAGCTTGCATCCAAATATGGGCATAATCACAGTTACTTGTCACATGATATTTGACAGAGTGGACAAAGCTAATCAGGTGCAGGTAGTGCTTTTGTCATCTTTATAATAGGATTTTTTTCCCCAACAAACATCTCAACTAACACAGTATTAATTTTATGACAGGGCTATTGCTCTACAAGACTTGTATAGCAATGGTGGTGCCGTAATTCTATAGCGCCTTTACACAGTGAAAATAGTTTCAATGTTGTTAAAACCACTGAACAAAACTGCAATTTCACAAACGCGTACACCAAGGAAGGTGATTAGATTGCGTCGCCATCACACTGTGTACACGCAGGTATGCATCAATATGCTGGATTTCGATACATTTCATTAACTATGTGTTTGTCTGAATAAACCTCTCTGTTCTGCCTTAAAACTATAGCTCGTAGTCGTATTCTAAGCCTGTACCCGCCATCTTTTCTCGATAAATTTGATCGAAAGCTTCGCTTTGGGCAACAGTAAAGAAATTCTTCCAATCACCAACCGTTCCTATGAATATATAATCCATATCATGGTATTATTCGTAAACGATATTGATTCAACAGATATACCGGCAGGCCTATTTTGAATCAAATATTCACAAATAATAATTGAATTATTATTTGTAAATGTTTATTTTTCTTTCATGATAAAATGTCATTTTTTCAGAAAGGCTATTAAATTGTATTTGTCAAAAACATGGTCTAAATATGGTCATGATGACATCACATCATGAACACATAGGCACATCATAAATATATGGGCATACAACAGATTTTATTGACCAAGACAATATGATAATTTGCTCTTTTGAATCAATGAGGTCAAACAATAAGGTCAACTCTTCTGAGGATCCTTTGATAGACACCGACAAAATCACATATTTATAAACTAACCAAATGTATTTGTCACATAAAACATGATGGTGTAAACAGAGCTTTAGAAAAAAAAAATTATGACCAGTGTGAATGCACGTTTATCAGCATAGTGATATTATTATGAATATTATTAATAGTATAAATGGTCAGATATTTTTCTGAGTAGGCTAGTTAAGCATTCACAGCCAAACTGCAGCTTAAAAAGATGTTACGTATTTGTATATATAATTTATTAATTTATGTACTCCTACGGAGATGAAACAAAATTAAAACTAACTAACCTTTTCTCATGAATGGAATTTTGTCGGTGTCTATCAAAGGATCCTCAGAAGAGTTGACCTTATTGTTTGACCTCATTGATTCAAAAGAGCAGTGCTGAAGAAGCTCAGGCAACTTTCCGTCCGGAATCGTCCACCCAAGAAACGATGCAACTTTCTCAACAACTTCACTAAGATTCTAAATGAAGTCACATGGGTGAAAAATAATATTATAATAGACCTTTCCGCTAAGCCCCCCCCCCCCCCCCCCCCTTTGTA